AAGTTAAATATTAAAATACAAAACACAACATTACAAATTTAAACATTCTACATAAGTTAAACATTAAAATACAAAAAAACAAAATCATAAATTTAAACATTACAAGTTTAAACATTACAAATTTAAACATTCCAAAATATAAGTTAAACATTAAATACAAAAACAACATTACAAATTTAAACATTCCAAAATATAAGTTAAACATTAAAACACAAAACAGAACATGTAAAATTTAAACATTCCAAAACATAAGTTAAGCTTTAGAATACGGCCGATGGTTATGGTTACCATCAATCACACTCAATCGCCATAATCCATCATCCTCTAACTTTTTGTCAATTAACTTGAACGGACAAGAACGTTTCTTCAATAGTCCGCGTTGTCCAGATCGATATCTTACACACGTCAAAACATGTAATGTCTGTGTTTTACAATGATTAATCAGTTCATGATGATGACTAATTGATGTGTCTTTTGCCCACATAGTTAACGCCTCTCTACTATCAAACACGATGCCACGTTGAAAGAAGGGACTATGATCGTGAGATTAGTATCTTAGTTCCTGCATAAATATTAAAATTCAAAGCAAATATTTAAGGGATTTCGTATTCTTATACACGAAACGTAAGGTAATATTTCGTGGAAAAGGTTACGAAATCCGTAGAAACATTTCGTCAACAAACTCACGAAGCAAACATTAAACGGATAATAAGATACAGTTGGTGTCGTAGTGCACGAAATGCAATATAAAATTTCGTGCAAGACAACACGAAATAACACAAAATACTTGAAAATGTTGAAATTTGACAAAAAAAAACGTGTCTTTTCAACTCAAAATCTAAGGCGCTTTCATCATGTTGATAATTGTTGTGCTTGAACTGGTATTGTTAGAAAATATATACAATTTGAAGGTTTCAAAATTTACGGTTTGAAAGTGTTTGAGAGAGAATTTGGAAGATAAAAAAAATGAATTATTTTGCACTACGAGTAAAAAAAACGCATTGATAATAGCAAACTTCTTCAGAGAATTAAACCTGCAAAGAAATGTTGTTGAATTACCGAAATAATAAATTGTTTGTTTGAAAGTGTTTTAGAAAGTTATGAATTATATTTTAACTCTTTCGATTACGGCTGTAAGATTAACACTTCTTCTACTACTATTCAAATTAAAGTCCGTTATTAAATGTTACTATTTCATTAAATTAGTACGACTTCTCTCACTCACCCGAATTTGATTTAAAAGAGGCTTCCCTCCCGCAAGGGATAACCTAGCAGTTGGAGCAAGTGAGCATGTGTCAATTGACTCAAGTTCGAATCTCTTTGTCAACCGTCTATACGTGGAGCTTGTCACACATAGTTAAGCTAGTACCTAGTTTACATCTCCCGCATAATTTATAAGCTATTATACGAGGGTGTAAGTTTGTCCAATGCACCTATATAATTGGTTGAGGGTTCATTCATTACCAAAAAATAAAATAAAAAAATAGAGATGACTAAACAAGTAAAAGAGTATTTTATCATTCAAAGTATATGTTAATTTTACTGAATAAAATATTTTATAGACAAATCAAATATAATACCGTAATTTAACATATTACATGATTCAATCTAATGAACACAAGTAATTAATCAATGAAAATTTAATATAATCTCATCTAATTTAAATTAATCCAATATAAGTAATCGAACGAACCTTTACCGTTAATTATGTTTAAGAATGCATAAAAATAACACGTGTAAAGAGTATTCAAGAATAAAAAATTGACATTTATCTTTCAAACAAATCCATTAAATCAGTCTAAGTAAGTGCACTTTGCTAATCACGTGATGGGTTTGGTTTTGAGTTTTGACAACATAATTTTCAACTTACTTCCAAATTTACAGGTGAAAGAAAAGCTGAACACTCCTTTCTTCAGTCAATACGAAGATGCTACACTTAGACCTCGTCTGGCAGAGAATATAAAATTACTTGAGACAAAAATAAATAATCTAACCAAATTTAATAGAGTCTTTCTATGGGGAGACCACATGTATTCTAAACTTATATGAGATATGTATTAATCACTATTAATTTTTTAAGATTAAATATGGACCCTCGAAAAATAACATGGCTTATGTTCTAAAAAATAAAGTACTTTACCAAATTATCCTTCGATTATTTTTTTTATTAAATTAATATAAAATTGATTAACATTGAATTGTCTAATTTACCCCCTACTATATTTTAATTAAATAATTAATTTAAATTTATTGTGACTGAGTTTTATTTGATAAATAATCGGAAAAAATGCATTCATTAGGAATTGAACTTGTGACATCTTAATACATTCATCACTCTTAACCATCTAAGCACATTAATTTATTACGATACATTTAACCATAATTGTATAAATACTGTTAATTAAAATATTAATTGCAACATTCATTAGTATTAAATAAATTATTAACAAATTTAATATAATAAAGTTTCAAAAATATAAAGAATTGCAGTTCAATACGCCGAACATGTATCATTAATTATATAATATTAGAAATATTAATAAACTCCACCATTTAAAAATGTAAAGAATGCTCAATTAAATATAAAAAAATGCACAACTTAATTCAAACTCACTTATGTTATTAAATCGATAGTGTGACAAATCCAAATAAAAAATAAAATAATATATTTATTTAGAAGAAGAAAAAATTATAACTCATTCCAATTAGTAATTTTCTTACTTTAATTAAGATAAAATTATATACTACAAATACTATATTGTGAATTTTCTTTTGATATTTAATTTAATCAAATAGTAAGATTTGAATCGATTAAGTTCAAATCCTTTCAATTAGTAAACATTATTCAAATATTTGAATCGGTTGTTTAACTATTGACATAACGTATTACATAATTGATTTAACTACTTACATGTAATGTCTAATATATTTTTAATTCAATTTTGTCATAAAAAATAATAAATTTAATTCCTAACACATGTAAGAAACTGATCGTAAATCGTAATATTTTATCAAAGCGTAATATTTGAACCAATTAAGCTCAAGTCATTTCAATTCGTAAACATTATTCAAATATCTGAATCGATTAATTAGCGCGCTCAACTATTGATCGACAAGAACATCTTAATCAAATTAACTATTATTAATGAAAGTGTAATACATTTTTAATTCAATTTTATCATAAAGAAATAATTCCTAAATTACGTAAGAATCAAATCATAAGATTAATTAAAGCGTATGATTTGAATCAATTAAGCGCAAATCCTTTTAATTTGTAAATATTATTCAAAAATTTGAATCGATTAAGTTCAACAACTGACAAGAACGTATTAATCGAGTTACCTATTTATAATTAATGTCTACTATCCTTTTAATTCAATTTTAACAAAAAAATAATAATTTAATTCGTAAAATCGTAAGAATCAAATTGTAAATCGTAAGATTTAATCTAACCATGAACCGATTAAATCTTACGATTCTTACGAATTAAATTTTATTATTTTTTATGATAAAATTCAATAAAAAAAGATACTAAACTTTAACTATACATAACTTGATTAATACGCTAATTGTAAATTATTGAGTTTAACCGATCCAAATATTTGAATATTGTCTACGAATTGAAATGAGTTGAGCTTAATCGATCAAATCTTTGAATATTGTTTTTGAATTGAAAACACATGACTTTAATTGATTAAAATATTACGATTTAATTAAATCTTACAATTTACGATTCAATTCAAACTTCAAATTCTTTCGAAATTCATTTTTAAATTACACGAGTTGATCACCATTTCCTTAGATTTTTAAATTATATTATATAAAGATTAGTTGGTATGGGATATTTTTAATATATAATAATAATTATATGAGAATTAATAATTTATTTAGCATTATTTATATAAGTTTTATAACCATTATAAATTGTAGCTTGGTGATATATATCCGTATTGTTAGTTTATTTTCAATTATGTGTTGTGTCTTAATGGTAAGTATTCATGAATGTTTTAGATGGTCACAAGTTCGAATTCAGGTTGATGCAATTTTGGATGGGTGGTTTAATGATTTTTACGAATAATGATATAATTGACTTTATAAATTTTAATTCTATAATAAATATAGATTTAAAATTGCATTAAAATAGAGAGGGTAAAATTGACATTTCATTAATAATTTATTATTGCCGATTTTTTTAAAATAATAATTGTACGAAGGGTATTTGCGACAATACATAAATGAGGAAAACATAGGTTTTTTTGCTGGGACACGTGTCGCAATTTGAATGGGGTATCTCATATAAGTTTAGAACACATGATCTCATTATAGAAACACCCAATTTAATAGTATTATTGGACCTTGGAAGATCAAAAAACATGTTTAGAAGGCAAGATAAAACATAATAACATAATATTTGCAGGTTGACCCAATAAGTTATTAGAGATACCAAACATCTAACAAACTCCAACTATTTATTTAATATTGGCTAATCTCTCCAACCAAACGAGACCTTAGTGGACAGTATTGGGTGATTTTACACTACATATTTATACAAATAACTATCCAATAAAAACACATATACATGAATATGTGTACAATTATATGTAGATTAATGGTGCAGAATAACCAGACTATCCAATAAATTAAACACACATACAAATGAGCAAGTGTATAATTGTGTGTAGATTAACGGTGCAGAATCACCCAATATGTTTCACCGATTGTAGCATCTACAAAACCCCTTCGTTCCTCTTGATTTTCTATTTTCTATTTAAAATAAATAAATAATAATAACTTGATTGGATATTAAGTCTCGAAAGTTTTGAATTTTCTAATCCAAATTACAATTTAATTTCAGAAAATATATATATATTTTTTAGAATAAGAATTAAATCCAATGGGGTCCATATATCATAGATGAATGACATCATACTTATATAAATACCAATATATATATCCTAATTCTCTGTCACAAATTAATTTATTTTCTCTGCGCAAAAATAATGTATATCAATTTTCTAAATTCAGTTACCTTCTGCATAGCAATCCCTCTATTTTACTTCATTTTATCAATATTCAAAACCCTAATCACTCCTCCCACCAATCTACCAAAATCATACCCTGTATTCGGTTCCTTCTTCACAATCTTGAGAAACAAGCACAGATACGTGCAATGGACGGCTGAGATTGTTACATCGACGCCGAACCTCACTTTCTCTCTCTACCGCACCATCGGCAGCCCGGTGCTCATCATCACGGCCAACGCCGCCAACGTCCGCCACATCCTCAAGTCCAACTTCAGCAACTACGTCAAGGGGGACTACTTCACCACCAACATGCGCGATTTTCTCGGCGACGGAATCTTCAACGCCGACGGGGACACGTGGAAGCTCCAGCGCCAGGTCTCCAGCCACGAGTTCAACACCAAATCCCTCCGCAAGTTCGTCGAGACCGCCGTCGATTCCGAAATCTCCGGCCGCCTCGTTCCGGTCATGAAACTCGCCGCCGGCGATAAAACCCACCAGCTGGACTTTCAGGACATCCTCCAGAGATTCGCGTTCGACAACATCTGCAGGATTGCGTTCGGGTACGATCCGGCGTACCTTTCGCCGTCGCTGCCGCCGGAGGCGGAGAAATTCGCGGTGGCGTTCCAGAAAGCGATAGAGCTCTCCAGACAAAGGTTCGCGTCGATCACCCCTTACTACTGGAAAATCAAGAAGGCACTCAACTTCGGATCGGAGAAGCAGCTGAAGATCGCCGTTGACCAAGTCAGAGAATTCGCCAAGGAGATAATCAACCGGAAAAAGAAACAGCTACTAATACAGTCGGGACACTCCGACGAGGATATCCTGTCGAGATTCTTGGTGTCGGGACACTCCGACGAAGACTTCGTGGCGGATATAGTGATCAGTTTCATCCTAGCCGGCCGGGACACAACTTCCGCCGCGCTGACGTGGTTCTTCTGGCTGCTCTCGAAAAACCCGAAAGTGGAAGCCGAGATATTCATAGAGGTTAATAAGGATAAATCATCGTCGTCGGAGTTATCTTCGGCTTACGACGAAGTGAAAGACATGGTTTACACGCACGGATGTCTCTGCGAGGCGATGAGGCTTTACCCGCCGGTGCCGGTCGACACGAAAGCTGCTCTGAACGACGACGTTTGGCCTGATGGGACGGTTGTGAAGAAAGGGATGAGAGTTTGCTACCATCCCTATGCTATGGGGAGAGTTGAGGAGGTGTGGGGTGGAGATTGGGCGGAGTTCCGCCCTGAGCGGTGGCTGGAAAGGGAGGAGGAGGGCGGAGGTGCCGGGAAGTGGAAGTTTGTGGGGAGGGATTCGTATACTTATACGGTGTTTCAGGCTGGGCCGAGGATTTGTCTGGGGAAAGAGATGGCTTTTATTCAGATGAAGAGGGTGGTTGCCGGAGTATTGCGGCGGTTCAGGGTGGTGCCGGTGGTGGTGGAAGGGGTGGAGCCGGTTTACGTAATGGATTTCACTGCAAAAATGAAGGGCGGTTTTCCGGTGAAGATTATCGAGAGGGAGGGAGTTTGATCTTCAAAATCCTCTGGGAAGAGTATTTTTAGTTTCATAATAATCAGCAGTAAAATAAAAAGAAATGGAGAAATTACAGTTTTCATCACTTAAGTCTGCACCGATTTCATATTTGGTCCCTCGTGTTTCAATAATTTAACAATTTTGGTTATTTCCGTCAATTTACCGCTAGTCCGTTAGTTAAGGTAGTGATGGGCAAACGCTTAAGTCCGTTAGTTTTAATGAGAAATTGACAGAAATAACTAAAAGTGTTGCATTGACGAAAAGGACAAGAACTGTATTTTTTCCAAAAGGAAACATATGTCGTGTGTTTATTTTTAATTAAAATTAAAACTGCATATCGGAATTGGTAACATAATCTAAACAATTGGCCTCATATATATTACATAGGACCTCGATAAATTAATACTCGATAAATTAATAACCTCGATTAAATAATAGTGATTCGGTGAAAACGTGTTAAATTATTAACTCGATAATTTAATAATTCGCTAATTAATAGAATTTCCTGGTTTCGACTGTATTAATTTATAAAAGTTTAACTGTATATACATAATTTTAGGAGCTTAATTAACTAATGTATCATTTAATATTTTTATCGCGAATATGCCTTGTGCAATACACATGAAATCTTGTACGTGCAATATTTTTGAAATGAGTTATGTTATGATTCGAACACATGACATTTTATTTGCATTGACTTTGATCTTGTGCATAATGATATTCTCAATTAAATACTTCAATTTTTAGTATAGTGAACCATCTAATATTTATATCTTCAGCATAATCTATTACTTTGTGGTAGAGGTCTATAAGACCAAATTTCTTTGATGAACAATAAATTCGGAGAGGTTCATCGTGTACGCGTACAGTTGTTGTGGAAACAAGCCCGACCTAGGCATAGGGAAATTAGGCTTGTACGTAGCTAGGGCCCCAAACTTTTCGTAGCGCTAATTTGCACACGTTCAGCTTATGAATCGAATCAAACGCAAGATAGGTATAATGCATTATGTATGGTCGTTTCTTGTATTCTTAGCCTCGTTTGCACTTGGCATGTTTTTATGCATGTTTATAGACAATAAATCATCTAATATTCATTACGCCTTCAAAGCTCCTTCGGTCCATTATAGAAAACGTACTTGTCCATAAATATTGACAGCTGATAGAACCGGCCTACTTGGGTTAATCTCGAATACTATCGGGTTTCATAGTTGTAGGATCAAATTCGACTCATGCATTTATTCGGGTTTCAGGTTTATATCTAACTTATGTGGAGCCATATATAAATTACATACTTTACAACTTTGTCACCGTATGTGTTCAAAAAAACAAAACTTTGCAACCGAGAGAAAAATAAAAAATATTCATATATATAAAGAGAAAAATAAGATAAAAATAATAGTTTGTTCCATAAATTAGAATATTTACTTAATTCTTATTTTACTATCTGCCACCGACACCTCAAAATAAAATGATCATATACGGTTGTAAATTGTAAATTTTATGTTGAACCATATCATTAAATAAGAAATATATTATATATTTCTTTATTAACTTAATCAGGCAGGTTTAGTTTGGGTTGAGCCATAGAAGGCTCAAGTTCGGCTCATAAATAAATCAAGTTTAGTAAAATGGTTCAAACTCGACCAATCTCAGTAAAAACTAGACTCATTACTCATTACTTTGTAAAGAAAGTATGCATCCAAATTTGTTTGATGACCAATTACTTTTGTAAATGTTCGATGTGCGAGTGTCCGTATCGTTGGTGTGGAAACAAGCCCGACCCTAGGCATACGGAATTAATATTAGATTAAAAATTACGGCCACCACCATGAGCTAAAATTAAATTACAGTAAAATCCCTCGTGTTTGGGCAATTACAACCACCCCACAACTATATATGAATCTTCTAGATTATGTGGAATATTATCCAATTTGTACCCGTTTTACCCTTTTCGAGCATCACATTTTGAAACAAGATGATCATAAGATATGTCTCTTGGCCTGTAAGTATCATATTGTGATGCATCAGAAACTGCATTTTTGCACAAAATGAATACAAACTAGAGAACGTTCCATGAAATCTATAAAATTGTATTGAATTTGACGTCATAAAGATGGACTTGTAAGAAGACTTATAGTTGAGGGACTTAAATTGTAATAAGCAAACATGGTTGATTTCTTTGTAATTTAACTTTATCTCAAGAGTTGACTGTAATTTATCTTTAATATTAGGGTAAATTACAAACACCCCCTGAGGTATGGTCAAATTACAAAAACACCCCTCTTGTTTGAATAATTACAACCACCCCCCTCAACTCATCAAATTTAGTGGAATCTTCGAGATTATATGTAATATTATCACTTTTGTACCCGTTTTATCCCATTCAAACTCTACATTATGAAGCAAGATGATCATAATATGTGATTTTTAGCTTGTATATATTAGTTTGTGGTGCATCGGAAACTGTATTTTTTACACAAAAATAGTACAAACTAGATCACATTTCACGGAATCTAGATGACTATGTTGAATTTGGCACCATAAAGGTGGAGGTCTAAGAAAAAATCATAGTTGAGGGGGTAGATGTAATTATCCAAACAAGAGGGGGGTTTTTGTAATTTGACCATACCTCGGGGGGTGTTTGTAATTTACCCTTAATATTATATTACAGCCCCAATAAATATATACAGCTAATAGAACCTGCCTAATTGGGCCCAATAGGCCCACTGACATTGAACTTACTAAAGACAAATACGAACCTTAAAGGAATAAATTCAAAAATTGAGTTTGTTAATATTCGTTAAAAGTTATATCAGGAATTATTTATATTTTTTTGCGTTGGTAAGTTAATTTTGAGATTGTGGTTATTTCTTTTTTCTAATAATAATTGATGTTACCAAGTAGATGATTATATCTGCTTAATTATGTTGCGGCATGTGGGTTAACACTAAAGCATACATCTTTTTTCGTTCAACCAAAAGATCCGGTTAACTGACGGTTAGTGGCGAGTCCAGGAAATTGGTACTGCATGGACTTCAATCTTTGGTGATTGGGGGGCAGCGCCCTCGAGATTTTCTTTTAGGATTTTTTTGAAAATAGGAAAAGAATAAACAAAAAAAAACAGAAAAAGAAAACAAATTTTCGATTTTTTTTTTTTTTTTTTTTTTTTTTTTTGCATTAATTTGAATTTTGGGTGAGCTAATTAATAAATGATGGGGCTTCTTTTGCATTAATTGAAACTTTGGATGAGCTAATTAATAAAGTTTGAATGGGCTAAATAGATATATAGTAGAATATAGGAGGGAAATTGTAAATTGAGGGTGGGCTTGAGTCCACTCTTGCCTAAGGGTGGACACGCCCCTGCCGACGGCAATATCCGTTCACCCACAACGAGATCCGACCATTTCTTAACCACTCCAACATCCGCCATCTATACACTGTTTTTGAGCAAAAAAAAAAAAGGTGCTTCAACCGGTTTCTGGTCTTTTTGGATTTTTAATTTTTCCGGGTTTGGGAGACCAACTGGACCATCCGGTCCCGTCCGGTTTTAGTAACCATGCCCAAATGACAAACTATCAATTTATTAACTTATCAAGTTTTAATGATAAAAAAAATTACTTATCAAGTTTTAATCAAAATGCATTAAACATGGCCTAATTAATTAATTTATTCGAGAAAAACTCAAAACATAAATTTAATGTAATACGAAATGAAATGATCAAATTTAAATAATTAATAAGATATGAGTGACAAAGATCAATATGCTTTTATATATAATTAATGAGCTTATAATAATAATTTCTCAGCATATATATATTACCTTGGGAAAGATTGGCATATAGTTACTACAAACAGTCAGCAGCTTTCCCGCCATCTTTTCTTATGCTGGTCTTCCAATGCATTTACTCTAAACGGTTTAGCTACATCACTCACATAAAAAAAAAAAATTAAAATAACAATAATAAATTTTGAGCTCCTAATTCACAGGGATATTGTTTGGAAACAGTTGCCCATACGGTTATTTATATACTACATCAGATCAGTGGCGGAGCCAGGATTTTCGGTGAGGGTGGGCTAAAGTTTTACGGAGGTTCGGGGGTAGAGGGTCCGAAATTTTTTAAGAGTTTTTTTTCAAAAATTTAGAGAAAATAGATAGAAATTTGTATATTTTTATTAAATTATATAAATTAAATTGCATATTCTCCAAAATATAATTATTGGAGTTCTCTAAAATACATTGCACATTTGTTGGGTGGGCTAATTATTTGGATTAGTATTAAAATAGCATATGAAATAATTAACTAAACATGATTAGCATTAAAAAATTGCATTAAAAAAATAAACCATGGTGGGCTTCAGCAACATAGCTCCGCCCCTGCATCATATGAATGTTACATCGAAAGAATTTTTATCTTTAATTTGCATATAAATACACAGACGCCCACATATCTGTTTGTTTATTTATTGAGTGAAATATATATACATCCGTTAATTTTGCACCAATTATACTCAATGGTAAAACGAGTTTGTTAATTTAAGTGCATAAAAATGAAACTAATTTAGATATTACACCATTAAAGTTTTTTTTTTATATAGTTTTTTGACCTTTTTATACTATTGAAACAATGAAACTCGAATGAACTAGATTTGGAGCGAGTCTCGTGTTGATAACTTGCCCAAGTATCTATAATGTTTTTTTCGACCCTTTGTTAGTCGGAATTTGGCAAAAGTTAAAACAAAGGATTTGTAATTCTTTGAGTTGGCTTATTAATCGAACTTGTATCAACTGTATTGAATGTCGGGTGAGAGAGATATGCGTTAATGAATAACATTGACGTTAACTTTGATTTTTGAGTTTTTCGTGTTAACTCATTTATGCATAACTTTCTCACAAGATATTCGGTCTAGTTTACTCAAGTTGGATTCAAAAGCCAACTCGAATAACTATTATTTTTTTGTATTTTGACAATTTTTACCAATTTCTAATCAAATGGTCAAAATCACGTCTGAAATTGTAACGATATCAGTAAAATTGAAACAATATTTAGTATTTCATATTTATTACTTATAGTTTTGTAGACGTCAATATATATGCTTCAAAGATTAAGGGAGAATGACAAAAATACCCCGACACTATTTCTTTCCCTTCAGTGTTACCCCAACAATATATAGATCTATGATAATAAAAAATAAAAAAAAAATACAGCAAAAATTGGAAAATATATTAATTAAATCCATCTTATTGAATAAGATCCTCGTCTACCGATCGATGGAAATCTAAACGAACAATTACTGGAAAATCGCATTTATTGAAAAAAAAAAAAGGAAAATAATAAAAATGTAGAAAGTAGAAAATGGAAAAAAAAAAGAAAACATGAAATAATAAATTCTACTGCATAAGTAAGTTTCTGATAAGAGCAGCTTGAGTGGTGTCTGTGTTTTCCAACAATTCAGACAGCCTCTCACTTAAGTCATCAACCTCTCTGTGCAAGCTTCTAATGTAGTTACATGTCTCCTGCAACACTTTCGCTGCTGACCTCTGCAATTTAAAATATAATTAATTTAATGGTTGGCTGTGGTTCCTTCGTTATATGTATATATAAAAAAAAGTATATGTATATAATTAGCAACCTAAAATATAATGATTTTAACTTTGAAAAAAAAAATATATAATTGTAAGAAATTTTTTTCCTATACATAATTTTTTTTAATAAATAATAACAAATAGTGGTCATGTGCTGATACTATTTAAAGATATATTAAAAAAAACAAAAAATTAAAACCTCCCCACATGAGGGGGTGGGTGGATGTGTGTACATGGTTGTGATAAAATAATTAAAGGAATCTTAAGTTTAATATTTAGCATCACACAATTCCAAGGTTATCTTCAAAACCCTGAAAACTTCAAAATAATAATATTAACATTATATTGGGGCTTGTGAAAATTAATATTTTAATTAAATTTAAACTTGGGAAAATCAATAAATATGTCTTACACTTAAGTTTGGTTAAATTATACATGTGAAATTTACAAGAATCTTACTAATGTTTTCCAAGAGATCTGCAATGAAATTATAATTAATTAAAAACAAGGACAAAAAAAAAACGTAAAACGAAATGTACCTTGTCCGATCGTCTACTATGCATCTCAGGAAGAAGTTGCTGCAACTTGGAGACAAGCTCGTTGATCTGATCATCGGTGACTCTTGAAGATCCCGAGTGCCTCGATCGTGTTCTTCGACTAGACATTATTATATATGTATGTATTTATGTTTTTTTAAATGAAGAATAATTACTTGAAAATAGATACAAAGATATACCAAGTGCAAAGAAGGGAAAAAAAACACAGTACTAGGTTTTTGTAGTAAAAAGAAACAGTGATGTATGTGTATGGAGTAAGGAAGAACTATACTGCATGAGAGTGTGGAATGGGCACACTTGCCTTTAAATAGGGAGCCAATAAACTCTTGCCCATAATTAGCAAATGAGATTTACATTTTCTTTTTTATTTTTAAGTTTCCTTCTATTTTTTTTTTTAATCAGTAATAGACGTCAACTGTTTAAAACCATAAATATCAGTAAATGCAAAAGAAGGAACCCGCAATCAACTATATATAAGTGCATTGAATTAATCTTAAAATAACTTACAAACTACACGAGAAGTAAATTACATTAGTTACATCCACCACCCTTGTCACTACTATAAATAGACTTAATTATAAGCTTCTTCATTTACCTTCCACTTGTGTTATTTGATTTGACTATCGGAAAAATAATTGTCTGGTCAATCCCGATACTTTATGTAACGATTTTTTTTGATATAATTTCTCCAATCGGCAGAGAACATGAGATTTCTTCACTTACATAGTTTTCGTGTTCTTAGTACTCAACTTTGTAATTAGAAGCATTTTCAAACGTAACTATTCTTGAAGTGATTCTACGTTAAGACCATGTAGCATGTTGATAAACACCTTGCACCTAAAACTATTCTGATTTATAGAACTATCCCTTTTATCCAGAGAGAAAAGCAGGGCACAATTTGATTTCTTTGGTACCTTAGGTTGGTTCTTCAAAATTCAAATTAATAAGTAGTATAATATATATATATATATATATATATATATATATATATATATATATATATATATATATATATATATATATATATATATTTTTTTTTTTATATTTTTCAAAAAGAAACAAACATATACAAATAAA